AGTATGTTTAGTAATGTTTAGTAGTAATTCTCTGCAGAAATAGCTAAGAGTCCACAGATTCTGTCTGGCCGTAGTATCTAATTTCATGTAACGAACCATGATGATGATCACCAACAAAAAAAAAAGTGTGGTTCAAGTCAGCCTGTTACGATATCTATTTTTTGTTGTACGATATATATGGCGCCAAAATATATTGCGATAAACAATATTACTGTCATTTTAAGACCATTTTATGCCACTCATTTTATAACACCAAAATGACAATATAATAGCATTATAATGCAAGTACACTCTTCCAAAGAGGGCATATTATTTTATTCTTAAAAATATTTCTGTGATTTTAACAATTTAATAATCAGGCATTGGAATCAGGTTGTGAAAATGCATATCCTAAACAGATAAATAATAACTGTTAAAAAAAGTGCAAGGTAAAAAGTGACAGAGGCTGAAATATTTTCAATTTCAGTTGTCAGGCAACCATTTGAAACTATAGAAATTTACAGTAAATAGTGTTTTTTTAACCATACTGACACAGAAACCCCCAATAGAGACAGAGAGGCTGTGCAATCAGCTAAAATGTTGCTAGAATGGTTGTTTGTGGGCGATGTATATTGTATCACCAAAAATTATGTGTGATATGTGGATATATTGATTATTGTGACAAGCAAAGTTTAAATAATATAATCCATTTAGTTTTCATTTTATAAATATATTCACATACTACTAATGTGTTATATATAATAGTAGCTTTTTTTGTAAAAGAAAGAAAGAAAGAAAGAAAGAAAAAAAGAAAGAAAGAAAGAAAGAAAGAAAGAAAGAAAGAAAGAAAGAAAGAAAGAAAGAAAGAAAGAAAGAAAGAAGGAAAGAAAGAAAGAAAGAAAGAAAGAAAGAAAGAAAGAAAGAAAGAAAAGATGTGTACATGCTATTGCTATTCAAATAGGCTAAGTGAATCTAAATATTGTGTGCTCCTAAATATGCCTGCTCCCACAAAATTTTTTACTTGCTTAGCACTATGGCTGACTTCATGCCGGGAGAAGAAACAAATGGCTTTAATTACTTTACCTCCACAATAACTGACACACGATCAGCTTGAGTCAAACAATCAGATCAGGAAAACTAAAATCGGTCACAAAACTTGCTCAGAAACACCATGAAGAAGCCTTGGCATTAGAGTGAAACTGCACTGTCCTTCAGTGTGTCCAAAATGAATTGCTTAATGTACTGCTAACAGCTATTCAGCAACTGATGAGCTAAACTATGAACAAATGTCGTTATGGCAGGTGATTAGATTGAAGGGTAAAATAAAAAGCAGTCCGAAAGAAAAGTGTTAGAGATGTAGCAAGTCATCTAATTCTGATGAAAGATATGGGCTATTTTTTCTGTCAAATAATAAACTGAGATGAATCATTCAGCTTCCTTACACGAAACCAGGAACTGTATTAAGGAAATGGTGCAAATGTGAACTGATGTCTACTTTACAAGTGAAGGTTGTTTGCCATTTACTACAAAAACAGATAGCATCTAGCCTGTTACCTTTTAACACACGTTCACATTAAGCTTGCGCACCTTCACACTAAACTGTTTCCACATATACACCACATCTAAAAGATACACACCTACAGGAGTAAACCCAACCATCTGAACAATGTGAAAAACAGATTCCCTGCAAAAAGCCATAAGATCGTCAATTTCCTGTTTAACCCCCGTCTTCACCACACCTGTCCCACACTGGACCCATCCTGTCAACATGATAACGACAAGCACAATGCAAACTTACCAGCCGTGTGCAAATGCCCCAACCAGCAGCCTAGGGCGACAAGAAGGGGGACAATAATGGGGGAAGAAAGGAGGGGAGGGAGAGGGTGAAAAAAGGGGATTTTAGTCAAATATGTTACACCAACAACATAACATAAGAGATGATGAACTGCAGACTACAATGGCAGCCATTTTGTTCAGTAATAATCAAAACCAGGGCAATGTGTCATTCATTAATTGAATGCAATAACACAGATATACTAAGATATGTAATCTTAAGGTAAAACATAAGGTATACTGACTTACAGTCTCACTAAATTAGATGACCCCTATATGACTTTAAAGGTTATTAAAAAGGGATCTAAACACATTCATTTACACTGACAGAGACTAACACATTTGTACTTATTGAGATAATTTAACATTAATCATGTTGCCTCGTCATCGAACTTATTTAATATATGTTTACTTATCATGCATTAAACATCACAAATTGCGGATGCTGCATTTTTTATGACATGTCAATAGAATAGATGTGTTATACTCATGTTTTAATTCAATTTTATGTAATTGTAAATCGTCTTAATGTGAATATCATTAACATTTGACAAGTAAACATATTCACATACAATACACGCACATACTGACGAACTGAAAGTCCGAAAAACGACGTGACGCATTAAAACGCTGTCTTGATCGTCATTTGAAATGGTTTTGAAATACAGCCGTATTTCAAAGTGTCAAAATACAACTTAAAACGCGAAACTATGTTGAATATTTATGCTCAAACGAGCCGAAAGGCCTTCATCCTCCCAGCGACACAAACAATTATAGCTAACGTTACTTCAGCAAGCTAAGAAAACGTAAATGACACTCAAATTACCAGACGTCAAATGTAAGACACAAACACCAAACATTTAAAACACGAACACGGTTCATTTCGATAATGACGCCAAACAACCGACGGGGAGCTCAAAACATGTCTAAAACACCCTGAGCAGTGTGCACACTACCGAGAGACGTCTACTTCCCTGAAGATAGGTTGAACTGTTGTCGATATAAGAGTGGAATTTATTCAAATGGCAACAAAAACAAAACTAGCCAACCGATAGATCTAATCAAGCGTAGTTCTCCGATTGGGAATTGTGTTGCTTTGTGCATACGGACTGTTGACATGAAAATACGACATGATTATGAAGGCCGTTCTCAGAACAGGCCTGAGACGATCCTTTTGTTTATTTTGCCCAGTCCGTGAATCAAACTCCTGCACACCGACAGCCGTTTGTTGTTCTTACACAACCAAACTACACAAAGCGTCACAACACTAAGACGTTCGTGAATTTAGATTGTGGCAAATGATAAAATATACAACGATAAGTTGATTTCGCACTCCGAGGCCTTACACACCGGTCTCGCGTTTTGTGGCCCTGTTTAAGCGCTTTTGCTAAATCAAAACATTAGGTATTGTATTTTTTAAAAAGTAAATACGTTAAAAATTGCTTTGTTAGTGTTGCTTTATAACACCATAGAGGATAACGCCGGACGAATAGTTAACGTTAGTGAATTAAAGCGAAGTTAAAGAGATAATCATACATAGCTAATGCTAGCAATCACGCTAGCCATGCTGAGTTAAATAAACCACTCACATTTCCCTGATCATCTAGCCATTTATACATTTACATCTTAAAAAGTCGGACAAAAACTTTGAAAGAGGTTTAAGTGTTGAAACTGAACATTTGTACAGCTTCTTGTAAGCTGTGCTGATGCTAACAGTTAACACTGCTAACCGATGCTAATCTGCTGAAGGGACGAAGCGTGACAAGCGATTATAAACAAATAACCTGCCTCGACTTTAACAGCAAAGACAAAACACAACACAATGCAAACACTCATCACACTAGCACAAAACAGAGAAAGGTTGTACCGTTATTGTCAGTCAGTATCTGGCCTACATAAGGTAAAGCTAAAGAGCAAAGCCGGTCTCCTGTCGACGTGTATGCGGGCAAGATCAGGTCAAAGTGACTGAAGACGTAAACAAACTACCACCAGCAGCAAAATACACTCATCAACATTTCACCTGAACATCACTGGCCACCACAAGAAAATCAACTATTGTGATGAAAGAAAACATCCCCTGTTTTAAACACACGTTTCGTGACATATAAAAATATAAACGAGGAATAGAGAGAAACTTGTATTCATTTGTCGTTACCCTATAGCTTTAGTCCAGGTGTATTATTTACGTCTGTTTTCTAATTAAGAATACTGACAAATGACTTAAAAATTCTAACAAAGACAGCAAAAATGGGTCGTCGTATACATTACACTACTCAGATGCTGCTGGTCTCAGCTTTATGGCATTAATGTCCTGTGTGTTTCTTTCACATGGCATGTAAACGACTCTCAATTCGCTCTTTATGTCTCCCCAACGTTATTAAACATTATTCGAGTAGGTTACACCATCTACCGTCACACAAATGCCATAAAGTGGTCTCTTTGAATGTATAGCATAAAAACAGAAACAAACAAGGGAAGTAGGAAAGGGCTCGAGGGATGACAACTGGAAACCATTTTTTTTCTTTCGTCTGGCTTTTCTCACTCATATTACACGGCTGCTGATTCACACGAAGGGCTCCGATGCGCATATGATGTAAGCCGATCCCCGGACATTGATGTTAAGCATATACGTGTATATTTCTTGGTGTTGTTGTAATTACCTATTTGTTCCAGTGTTGTAGTTGCTGTTAGACACAGTGCAGCAGTAGCAGCTTTACCTTCATCAGCTGAGCGACCTGCGAACTGCCGCATCACCTCCGCTCCCACAGCGCTCCCCGCTTCCGCTACGCACTACTTCTCACACCAAAAAAACAACGATTACTACATCAAACGGTTCTCTGAAGCCTTATCATCCTCCGTGACGATAAGAATAATGTATGTTGGAGCTGTTCCGCACGGGTTGTGTCACCCATAACCACGCGGTTCACCAATGTATCACTGGCGCATCAGTAACGCACGTCAGGATTTCATCATATCCCTCCGCCAGGTCGTGACCCCCCCACCACCACCATCTTAAAAACGTTCACCATTACACAATTTTATGTATATAATACTTTTATATTTTGATTATACACTACATAATGTGTTCTGCCGTCGAAACAAAGGTGAATACATGCCCATAAAATGGATTTATGAGGAAAAGTGGTAGTTTTTGGTGTGGTGGTTGTCATGGTAACCACTAAGCGTCCAAATATGGCGTCTCTGCTGGATGAAATATTGTTTGAAACTGCTGGACAAGGTCCACCTCCATCTAAAGACTTCTACCAGCTTGTTATCACACGGAAGGAGGTATTTTAACATCAACATCAAAATGATGGGACTAAGATTGTGGTCAATGTTTGCATTATTTTGCATACCATCTGTCATGCAGGCAAAATGAATTATGAACTTCTCATCAGTCATCATAACAACATCACAAAACAACACAAGTGTTTCTACATATCTGTTTTGCTGACATGGCTTGAATTTTAGTCAAAATGAGCAAAATGTTTCATTTCACTCAGGTTATATGGAGATGCTGGAAGATTTCAATCCGGGCTGAATCCAGAGGAGCCCCACCGGGAGAAACTAAACAGTTCCACGATGACTTTTTGAACGATTCAAGGATGCAAGGTAATTATCCAGGTTATGTTTGCTATTAATCACCAATGTCATCTATTAACTATCTTATAATTCATTTATTTTATTTTCGGCTTAGTCCTTTTATTAATCTGGGGTCGCCACAGCGGAATGAACATATCAAGCATATGTTTTACGCAGCAGCTTCAACCCATCACTGGGAAACATCCATACACACTCATTCACACACATACACTAAGGACAATTTAGTGTATTAGTGAATGAGTGTGTATGGATGTTTCCAAGAGATTGGTTGCAGCTGGAAGGGCATCCGCTGTGTAAAACAAATGCTGGATAAGTTGGCAGTTCATTCCGCTGTGGCGACCCCGGATTAATAAAGGGACTAAGCCGAAAAGAAAATGAATGAATGAATGAAACACGTTTACATTATTCTTGAAATCTTATCATGTTAATCATTATCTTATTTTAAAAGGCTAACATCAAAAGATGTAATTAACCACATGACCATCTCCACATGATGTAATTAACTACATGTTTGAGCATCACTTGGGGCCTGTCAGTGGCTGTGACTACCAGATTTTTGTCAACAGGCCAAGGTGGTAAACAAATTGATGGAGGTGGCTGAAATTCTATCTGCCGGAAAACCCTGATAATTATTATTAAAATGGCTCTGGTTTTCTAAAACTGTTACAATCTATTTTTATTTTGCCTTTTTATGTCAAATAATGGAATACCAACACTCATTTGTCTATTCTAAATTGTGTTTTCTTCATTAAATTCAATTCATTTATTGCCATGTGAGCAGTAAGGAAACATGTTTCCCTGTACAATGAAATTCTTACTTTGTCGTCCACAGTGATGTCATACACATCATACACGACATACACATACACAGAAGTGACAGAAGTATACATATGAAATGTACATATCTAAATATCTATAAATGTAAGTAATATGTCATAATGATTGTATAAACAGATGTAAACAATGTAGTTGTTTAATATTGTGCTTACTATGCAAAAAGTGCAAACAACAGTATAATGGCCGGAGCTGATTAAGTGCAATTGTATGCATTAATAGTGCAAACTGGATGAAGAATATAGTGTGCTATGAAATGAAACTGTTATACTGATGAAGACAAAATGATTACCCCCTGTGATTTTTAATTCTTTTTTCAAATATTTCTCAAGACATGTTTAATCAGAGAAGATTTTTTCAACACATTTTGAAACATAATAGTTTTAATAACAAATTTCTTTTGTTTCTGCTATAATGACTGAACATAATATTTCATTAGTTATTTTGCAAGATACTAGTCTTCAGCTTAAAGTGCATTTTAAAAGCTAAACTAGGTAAATTAGGTAAACTAAGCATGTCACTGGACAACAGTGGTTTGTTACAATCGAAAAAACTAAATTATAGAAGCTAATGTTGATTGATTGCAAAAGAAGACTGTATTTTGTATAGAATTAAAAAAAATAGAAATAAAAATAAAATGGAATGGAAAATGCTGTAAATATTTATTTATTTATTTATTTTTTGCTCTGTTATTCATCCCTGAGGAAATATTTGAAATATTTTACCGGAGTGTTTACAATTTTGGCTTCAGCTGTATTTATATGGAAAATAATTAGGATCTTTTAAAACTAAATATCCCTTTTCTATTTTCTCTTACTTTCCTTAAAAAAATAATCTGACCTAAACTCAAGAAAAAATAAAAGCAGAGCAAAATGTTTTTAGAAATAATTTAAAAGATGTCTTTCTGAATCTGGTAAAAATATTCTTGGCATAAATTGAAATAAAACAGTTTTTGAAAATCAAAATCCCCCTCCCATACATGTATAAATATGTACAAATGAATTATTAGCCCATTATTAGGAAAATTATTTCCTAAATTATTTTTAGAGCAAGGAATTTTTCACAGTATTTCCTATAATATTTTTTCTTCTGAAGAAAGTCTTATTTGTTTTATTTCAGCTAGAATAAAAGCAGTTTTTAATGGTTTTAAGGTCAATATAATTAGCCTTCTTAACCAATAAATATATTTTGATCATCTACAGAACAAACCATGATTATACAATGACTTGCCTAGTTACCTTAATTTGCCTAGTTAACCTTGTTAAGCCTTTAATTAGCACAATAAGCTGAAATCTTAAAAAATGTCCAGTAAAATATTATTTACTGTCATCATGGCAAAGATGAAAGTAATCAGTTATGAGAGATGAGTTATTAAAACTATTATGTTTATAAATGTGTTGGAAAAAAACTATTCCGTTAAACGGAAACTGGGGATAAAATATCCAGGGGGGCTAATAATTCTGACTTCAAATGTATAAAAATATTGTTGTCATTTGTAAGTTACTTTGAATAAAAGCATCTGTAAATTAAATGTAATGATAATTTAGAGGTTCAGATTTAAATAAGTCATACTCACGATTTCATAAAAATGATGTGAATGTTATGTATGATTTTTAGAGCAGCTAGCTGTGGTGTTTGGCAGCGGGATTCTGGAGTACACTCTGGCTCTGTGTCGAGGGCATTTTGACTACCTGGAACGTTTACCAGACAAGCTGCTCCTTACAATTCTTTCCTACATTTCCTTACAGGACATTGGGCACCTCAGCCAAACCTCAAACAGGTTTAGAAAGGTTAGAACAATGCCCTGTCTCTTTCTTCTCTTTATTATCATCTTCTAAGAAATATACAAATTATTAACCCCTTGAATTATTAGCCCCCCTGTTTATTTTTTCCCCAATTTTTGTTTAACAGAGAGCAGATTTCTTCAACACATTTCTAATCATAATAGTTGTAATAACTCATTTCTAATAACTGATTAATTTTATCTTTGTCATGATGACAGAAAATAATATTTTACTAGATATTTTTCAAAACACTTCTATACAGCTTAAAGTGACTTTTAAAGACTTAACTAGGTAATTAGGTTAACTAGTCAGGTTAGGGTAATTAGACAAGTTATTGCACAACGAGGGTTTGTTCTGTAGAGTATCGAAAAAACATTTAGCTTAAAGGGGCTAATAATTTTGTCCCAAAAATGTTTTTTTTTTTTAAATAATAACTGCTTTTATTCTAGTCGAAATAAAACAAATAAGACTTTCTCCAGAAGAAAAAATATTATCAGACATACTGTGAAAATTTCCTGAATTTCCTGAATTCCTAAACATCATTTAGGAAATTAAAAAAATAAAATTCAAAGGGGGGCTAATAAATCTGTCTCAACTGTACATACATATTTGGATTTCACAGATGTAAAAATGTATGTCATATGTGCAACAATTACTAATATGTACATTTGTTCAAATATGAAAATTAACTTTTGTTAGCTGTGTGGACAGATCTGTGTGTGTGTGTATAGTGTGTCCACAGTCATATTGGAGTGATATAAGCACAAAAAGTCTTTTTTTAATTTCTGGATTTTAAAATAGGACCCAAATCCCAGTGATTTTGAGGCTCATTGCAACTTTACGTAGGAGTGTGTTTTTCCCCGCCCACAGAACATTTGTTTTGCAAATAAACTGGGATTAAAATATTTTTACAACTCTCTGTGATTTTTATACATTTTATAAGTTTAAAAAGTTTTTTAAAAAGAGCATGTTTGTAATAAAGACTGCAAAATCTCTAATTCTTAACCGCTATGATCACCATGGCCGCATGGTATCAGTAATGGTAACTTTAATATATATCAAATAAACTTAATAGGTATTTTTGAATAATGAGCTGTAATTCAGCTTAATCCAAGTCTGTCAGTATCACTGACTGCTGTTTATCTGACTTAACAGGAGAAGCAGCTCATTTGCATTTAAAGCCACAGGCTACAAAAACAGCTACAGTATACTCAGACACCAAAATGGAAAAATTCTGGAGGCTATAATAAATAATCTGATGGATATTTTGAGCTGAAACTTAAACTTTAAAATAGGTGCCCTTTAATTTTATTTACAGCTAAAGTCAAAATTATTAGCCTTACTGTGAAATTTTCTTTATTTTTTTCAAAAGTGTTGTATAACAGAGAGATTATTTTCAATACGTTTAAACAGAAGTTTTGATAAGTATTTTCTAATAACTAATTTATTTAGTCTTTGTCATGATGACGGTACATGATGTACTTATTTTGCAAAATAATAGTATTTAGTTAAAGTGTCATTTAAAAGGTTAATTAGGTTAAGTAGGCACATTAGGTTAAGTGGGCAACAATATTTAAGGTTATTAGAAATATTTAGTTTAAGTTTTGACAATATTTCTTAAGAGGGCTAATATTTTTGTTCTTAAAATAGCTACTATATATATATATATATATATATATATATATATATATATATATATATATATATATATATATATATAAAGACTGCTTTTATTTCAGTTAAAATAAAATAAAAATATATTATATCAAATGCCATAAAAACTTCCTTGGTCTGTTCAACATCACTTGGGAAACATTTGAAAAAGAATAAAAATTTCACAGGAAGGCTAATAATTTTGCCTTCAACTTTGTACCATAAAAATGAGTTCCACACATTTTGATTTGTGTTGGGACAACATGAGGAAATTAGGTTAACATTAGTTTTTGGAAATTTAAGTGGATTGAACATGAAACAATTAAGTTGTAATAAATTTTAGTAGTTTCAGCTCATTTTAAATACATAGTTTGAAAAAAAAAGTCATTTTGTACAAGTATACGTTCAAATATATTAACTATATTTTAAGATAATTCATATATGGCCATATCAGATTTCCACATGGGCTAAAGCTAAATGCTAGCAACATGCATGTAACGATTCATTTGTTTAATAGGTTATTAATAGTGAATGTAATTAAAAGCATCAATACTCACAAACAAATCTTAGTTTTAAACATCAGAACTTATGGAGTTTGACATGTACTTTTATTAATCAGCTGTGTAACTCGGAGGAGATCTGGAAGAAGACTGTGCTTGGTCACTGTGATGGGATAACTGAAGACATGGAGATGCTGGCAAAGGTCATGGGTTGGAAGAAAATCTTCTTTGGGTTTTACCATGAGAAAGATCCTGTCAGCACGGCTTCTCCTGCGAAGGAAGAAGATAATACCAATAGGGCATCTCCATGAGTTATTAAAATCAGCAACTATTAAAAAAGACAGGATCAAACATGTATTTCTTTGGTCTAATTTAGTCCATTCTGTTGTACTGAGGCAGTGTTAACTTTTTAGTATTATTTTTACATTTTCCTATGTCATTTTTACTGTTCACTTTTAAAGTGTGATTCGTGAAGTTCAATTACGTTTACTTTTTTTGTGATTAAGAATAGGATTGATTGAAACTATAGACTGTAAAAGATTCAAACTGCACGTCTGCCCTCTAGTGCTGACTGTTTTCATGAACCACAAAGTGTAAAGTGACCAGAAGATGGCGCACGTTAATAAAATATGTGCAAAAACACTGTGACTTGCTTTTTTTCTAATCTAGAATAGATATGAGTTAGAATATAATTTACTACAGTTGGATTTCTAAAATACCTGTGTCTGATATCAAAACCTGCTCTGAATCTGTACATTTATAGCCAATTGAATAATTAAAATAATTTTCAGTGTACATGTAGAATTGGCTGAAGACTTACCAAGCATATTTATTGAAAGGGGAGGAAAAAAAACTATTTTTGAATTGTGTGTGAATATTTTGATGATGAAGTATTTTTTATATACGATTTTAGAGAAAGTTTTTATTCAGGAAATATTTTAAGGGAAATTTTTAGGGGATACATTTTAGACTTTTATCATTAATCAAATTTAAACAGCTTATAGCTATCAATTTTTATCAGTGTTGTTATTTGTATTTTTTTGTACAATGAATGATTAAGAAACAGTTATGATTGTAAATTATTTTGTGAATATTGACTAAGTGTTGCCATGAATGCTGCTATGCAATTAAAACACAAGTAAATAAATAAATAAATAAATAAATAAATACTTTTTAATTGCAATTTCATACCAAAAGCGCTATACTTTGAGCAAGCCCAAAAATGTGATATTACCATTGAGGTTCCACATGGTCTTCAACAAGAGACTTTCTTTATCCATAGAGCTGACAGTTAAAACGTAAAGAAACTACGATTTTTTCAATTAAACTCTCTCCAAGCTCTTGAGTTTGTAGTATTTCAGGCCCATAGCTAGCCAGGTGAAAGGGGTAGTTCTTTCTCTAAAATAAGTGGACCTTTTTGCAGTTATTCATCCATTTTCTATTTAATTATGAGATTTAATTACTGAATTTAGGTAACATTTTAAGCACTATTTTTAGCTAAATAGTAAAATACTTCCTAAATATTTAGAATAAAGAAATATGACTAATATTTGGCCTATATTGTCATTTATTAGACAAATAACAAACTGGCCAGCACATTCAAATGTCATCAGTCAGAATTTGTTCATTTGAAAAGTAAATAAATAAATAAACAAATAAATATTATTAATAATAATAATAACAATTTAGAGCTTCACAAATTTTCTAGCCTCTCTTTTAAAAAAAAAAAGTACATTTGAAAATGTAACTCTTATATAAAAACAATAGCCAAATTAGTATGCAAGTTGATTTTAATATGGGCTGCTTTTGGTGCTTCACACTTTTTTATTAATCATGCTTTCTTTCAAGAATAAGGTCCAAGATTTAGAATAAAATTTACTAGTCAAATGTTTTCTCTATATTTAAAAACAATACAGTAGCGAAAGATGACCTCTTATGTCAGATGTTTACTTGCACAGCTGGATAGTGGACAAATTAATTGTTTGCACTGGCCAAAACTAATTAACTGGGGTCACACCAGGATTCTGGTTTGTCTTAAAGCTTTTTTAATGGGTTATTTTTTTACTATTTATGATGGCTTAGCAGTCAAAATTGGACAAACGAGCTCATGAATGGGACAAATTCTGGACCTTTGTCAGTGGAGGGTGGGTCTTCTGAACAACCCCCCCCCCCCATCTATATGTTTTATAGATGTTGTTTTAATCTTTTGATTTAGTTTGATGATTTTTGTTTGTGTTCAGCCCAATGCTCAACATCTGTTGTTGTATTGTGCCATATAAATAAAATAAGTAGGTGATGTTGTTCTGCCAGTAGGTGACGACATTTACTAAACTGTCCACTTCTTGTCGACGGATTCAACCACTGATTCATTCTGGAACTGAACACAAGTTTGCAGACAGACACTTTGTTGTTGTAAGTTTATTTAATATTGATATTTTATATTTCAAACTGATGTACAAAGATAATTTCACATTTAATGACAGCTGTGGTGGTATTTTAGCACTCGAATGCTCGTGTGATATTGTTTAACTGCAAGGAGGCCTATAACAGCTGGTCCAGACATGTTCAGACTTGCCCTTTGCGATTTGTAAATGTATCGCCCGTTTACCCAATAACTTACTTTGATCGTTAGTTTATGAGACTGCAATGTTATTTTGAATTTTTAAGGACAGAATGTGCAAACTTTGACAGGTAAAGTCCGAGTGTTTGAAACATATATATAAAACTTGAAAAAAAAAAACACGTTTGGTAATAATTAGTTTTGACTAAAATGAATTTGGCTACTCAAGAAATATTTCTGCTTAATAAACTGGGGAATGTATGAAGTTCGTTAAGTAACATTAAAGTATTTTATTATATAGAGAGTAAATAAGTGATAGTATACATTAAATAAGTGATAGGCCTATATCATGTTAGAAAACACTGAAATATTTCCCCCCTACAGACTCTTTCCCCCCAAACACCCCCACGACTCCTCATAACATAAACAATGCATTGTTGTATTAAATATTTGCAATTAAAATTGCACATATTCATCGCACTACGTTGCACTAATTCATCTTGAATTATACATATACTCTACACATACATTTGTAATTATGTTTATATCTATCTGCATACATTAATAGCAACCTGAACATATATTCATGTATTGAAAATCTCTGTTTATAGTCAATACAACTTGTATATAATGTTCATAGTACATCCATCTGTAAATATCACCATATATTTTCTATAATTGCACTTTATAACTTATACCTATATCCTGCACTTGCTGCTATTGCGCTTCTGGTTTGACCTAAACTGCATTTTGTTGCCTTGTTCTTGCACAGTGCTCTCAGCATAGTACACCCCTAACAAAGCTATCTTTTAAATTCATATTTATAATAGGAAGCTTTACAATATTTGTGCATATACATCAGATTAGTCAGTACTAAAGCCAAATCTGGAGCTCATCTAATGAAATAACTTACGATAACGGTCTAAATCTAGTACACTCAAACTTATATGTTATAGAAAAGTATTTAACACAAATTTAAAAAAGAGGAAAAATCAAGAGAAGCAAAAAAATTGAAAAAATTTGTTGAAGTTTTGTAGGTTGTATTTTTTTTTCAATATTTAGCAATATTTAAATCTTTCAATTTCTAAATCTGTTTGGTGACTAAAATATTATGTTAATAAATAGATCTGTTTAATAAATCTGTTTTGTTTAAAAGCACTAAAATACATTGTCCATATTCACTTAGAAATGGCTAAAAATATTCATTATTCTGAGCTGTGTTACCCCTACGTTTACAGTTTTTTTTACCTTTATTTATATTTCTTATTTTTTCACAAAGTGTGCAGCTTTTGTCACTGCAGTGTATCTTAATGGATCTCTGGAAGAACATTTTAAGTACACTACTAGTAAATTGATATTAGTATGCGTAAGCTAAAACAAAAAGCTGTTTACTCGCATGCGCCTGTCAGAATCGGCAAGCTAGCGCAAAAGCTCCATTGAAAATACTGGAGTAAAATACATGTTCATATTTTAAAGACATGGCGGGGAAAAATTTAATTTAATGGAGTGCTTCTTGTACAATCTGAGCCCAACTTTTTATCGGATATCACTCAGCCAATGGAGATCACTCATTTTTAAAGAAAACAGACCTTAAATGCACAGTTGTGCATTTGTAATGGCATACAGTTCACCGGAAGCGCTTAACCCAGGTTACTGGCAAATTTTTCGTCATATACCCTATTGATCTATGACATGCACAGTTTCTAGCACTAATGGTATGTTGTAGCGAGGATGTAAACAATGGGAAATGCTGTTTGGCACCGTTAACAAAAAAGCTACAAATTCACCAGTCAAACTGCTGTTAACGCCCACAATCTTCAGCAGCGCTGCAGTGTCTCTTTATGCAGCCAATTTCCCTGTGTTCCACATCTCATATAACAAACTTGCGAAAGATATGTGAACAATTCATATAACTTAAGCATGCTTATTCTGATTACATATGTAATACACTTGTCAGATTTAGTTTTAGAGCGCAGGCTTGAGGTTCAGCTGTGTCCTCTTCATTTATGTCTAATACAGGATCACACTGACTGGCAGTATTTACACAGCAAAGGCACAGCACTTGCTATTAGAGGCGTGACTGGACGTGATGCTTCCTGGCTGATCTGCGAATCACAGCACATTATGTTAGCTGACCAATCAGAGCCTCTTTATAGAAGGTTTCCGGAGGAACTAGGAAATATGACAGTCGTTTTCATATTAGCTGAGTAGCAGTAGATATTTAAAGTATTTTCTACAAAGTAAAGCATAAGCACACATTGCTTTGCATATTATAAACAGTGTTGGGAGTAATGCGTTACAAAAGTAATGTATTACAGTAATGTATTACATTTTCCTGTAACGCAGTAGTGTAAGGCATTACTAATACATTTTCAGTAATATTTTACTCGGTACATGTTCAGTAACGCGTGCGTTACAACACACTTTTCGCCCGCAAGACATTAACAAATAAAAAAATACCGCAGTTCTATTTCCTGTTCGTGGCTTGAGAATATATGCGTGTGCTGTCATTAATCTCCTTCTGGCTATGGGACCTTTTTACTTTGAACGCGGAATGATTTCAGCTTCTGAGCTCAAGGTCCGGGGCTATTGGCTCAGCCCGGTTCGCAGTACGCACAGCGGAAAATAGATGAAAATGGCATAAGACAGTGCATTCGCGAGACGGACGTAAGTGCATATGGCGTTATTTCACTGACAAATGTCGTAAGCTCATTCATGTTATACGAGCGAGTGAACGTGCCAGTTTCCTCTGTGGACAAAACTCCTCGCGTTAACTCAACACTGGCTGGGCTGCTCACGTGCTAACGACCTGCTCTCGCTCCGGCAGATGATGCAGACTCACAATCTATGCCATGTGTTTCCTCTTCCCTTCGTTCTGTTGCTCTCCAGAGATCCTCCTATTTAATTGTTATCCCAAGAATTTTTATATGGTTTATATATTGCTACACTATTTACTTACAGGTTAAGATAAATTCTATAATAAATACTAGTGTTTTTGAGTGTAAGGTATACTGCCTATGTTTTAGGCTAGCATTTACAATGAATGCTTAACCATACTGTCTTATTAAGAATAGTGAACTCA